TTTTTTCCAGATCTACCGCTATTTTATCATTATCAACATTACACATAAAAACTCAGTCATGGTTTGTTTCCCTGTTTTTTTTGCATAGTAACTAAAATGGCTATATTTGTATTGTGGACATCACAGCCCCTGATTTCTATCAGCACCACTGTAAAGAAATCGCTCAATAAGTTACTCCACACTGAACAATTTCACGTCACACCACTCTGAATCACTTCATTTATCTCATCAATTTAATTATGCAGCAATTTTGAAAAAAATGGTGGAATGTTTTCACACTCCAGTACATTGTTGCCACATTTTTACTGGTGATGTTCGGGCTGCGAGGCACCTGAACAGTATTTTACCAAGAGGGATGCACTGAGATTAGCCTCACGTTTTTTTCTTGCAAAAAAAAAGAAAACTTGACTATAAAAGCAAAAGCACTTTTGACGCAGTAACAGCCGCACATGCAGAAAAGGCAGTTTTTTACTGAGCAGTACACCGCTAGAATCACGCATGAAATATGGGGCTGTAATATTTCTCCTTCATGAAAACTGAAAATTAAGCTGTAAAAATTCAAGTATTTTGTCAGCCATAACCAACACAGCACTGTCTTTCCCGGTAATGTATTGGCTTCTCTTCACACAGATTTTCGCCCGAAACACCTGTGTTGCAATGTCATGATGTAAATAACATGAGGCAGGTAAATACACTCATGCTGTATTTGAATGATGCTGCTACACCTAACACCAAAATGTCATACTTGCATTTACTTTTGTTACTTAAACAGACAACTCATTTTTCATTTATTAACTTAAAATGCCTCACGCAGTGTGAGCTTTGAACCAGAACCAGGCATGAACATATGAACCCTTACAAACACAAAAACGTGAACCCTGGTACTTTCAGTGCATTGCCACATCAATTGTACCAGGATTTTAACCTCAGCTCCACATTTAAGATATTATTGACCAATAGTAAGCATCAGAACTCAACAAAGAAAACTGTCAAATCATTATTCAGACAAAAACTGCTCTTCATACAAAGCTTCATAGTGAATAGTGAAGTGCTGAAGCTGAATATACTCAAAGGATTAGCATAAAGCTGTTTTATTCTATCAAAACCTTTGCAGGTATTTTGTCTTAATTATTGTGTTGAAAAGTGACAGCAAGGGTGCCCAGTGCATACACAGATACATTCATATATATATAAACCCGTTTTACACATGCACTTTTGCACTAGAATTTAAGTGGGTCTGGGCTTCAACTTAAAAAAATAACTCCAGTTTTATTTACACGTAATTACCAAATAATAAGCCTTAGAATGTAATAAGTCTGGGGGTTTTAAGAGGTTAAGCTATTGCAAAACCAGAAAAGAATTCATGTTCATCTGTATTAACATTTTAAAAAAGGCTAATTGTGTCCAAACTTTTGACCGGCAGGGTATATCACGAAATAATGAGGTAAAGCTGAGATGGTAGGTTATCAGGCAGACTAACGTAGCCTGTTCTGGCCAATGAGAGTTTTGAATAGCTGGGGAATTCCATGGGTTGCCCTGGCAACACTGGGAATGCAGTAGGCTACAACAGAGAAAACCTATGTCTACCACATGGGCCTCACTCACCAATATCATTCTGTTTTTTCTTAAATTTGGCTCGAGAAAGGTCCTAAGAAAAAGTCTACGTCAGATTCAAGATGTGTTCTTAAACTGCAGAATTGTACTCGAGTGTGTAGATTCTGTTCTTCCCTAAGAACAAATCCCAAATAAGAAAACATGTGAATGTCAGACTCTCCATGAAAACTGCGTAAGTTGGTTTTAAGAGGAAATTTCTTCTTAAGAATGGTTGGTGAATGAGGCACACTGTTTCCATCTCAAAAACAAGGCCATTGCAGACACGCTGTTGTTCACTGTGTGATATAAATGACACATGTTTGCCAAACACTTTGCTAAGCAAACCTGAAGGGTAATTTGGTTGGGGAAGTCATCAGAAAAACACTTTCCCTTCCCTCTCTGTTCATCAATGACATTTCATTAGTGTGATGTGATTGTAAAGCAATTCAATTACCAACTGTCTAATAGCAAGAGCTTTCTGTCTTCACTTCATTACTGCCTGAATCAATGAACCACGAACGACCAACACAGATTTCAGCTACCCAGAAAGTTCTCACACATTCATACTAGAGGTTTAACAATACACAGGTTTCACCATACAGTATAGGAGTGTAGTATAGGTACATAGAGTACAGGAGTACACAGTGCTACAGACAGCTTTTATAAAGACAAGAAACCTGCCTGTAATCTCATCTATGTTTCGTATATATGTGGTATTAAAGTAAGATAACAGATCGCCCAACATGTTTAAACATTCAGTTATTTTCATATGTGAGAATACTAGTGTTTTGCTATGGTTTGCATGAAAAAATCAATAACAGAACAAAGTTTTTTTTTTTTTTACTGGGGTAAATGAGCTTTTACTGTCACAGGACAGAGCAATTCAGTTTACCATCACCAGGTGTAGGCCTGTTTAAAGTACTACAACTAATTAGTTAACTGACAAAATATGACAGCAGCACCTGGTGAGAGCATTTTTGAAGATAAGTCATTTTAGAAGACAAAGGGGCAGATTTACTAACATTTTGCACTGTCCCAAACGCATTCTGCCATTTAAAAAAGTGGCTGTAGTGATTTACTAAACAGTTGAAATGCTGCTACTGTTTTGTGCCTATGCCTTATTCCGTATGCATGAGTTTCCCTTTTGGAAATATTGATTCCGCATTATTATGAAGGAAATAAAAATCAAACCAAATATTTTGAGAAAAATTACGTTCTTAAACTTCTTTAAAATGTCTTAATATTGTGGGGTTTTTTTTTATATATTTTGCCTAAATAATGATCTGACAGTTTTCTTTTTCAAACTGTTAAAATCACATAATGAGAGTCATTGGCTCTGCAGCCCCTGCTTTACTAAAGCTATTTATCACTTCATTGTTCCTGTGCGTTGTGGCTTCTGTACACTGTGGTTTATGTGTGCACATGACAGAAATGTCACATCTATTTTTTGAGGCACTGCATGCAAGGCACTCAAGCGACCTGGGTGCACTCGGTGAAACTGAACAGGGACTTTACAGTATCGCACAAAAATGCACTCCAAATGCACTCATCCCAGAACTTAAGTTCAACTCATCCCACCAACCAAAAAATAATGTTTCAAAACAGAAAGCAGTGATAATTGTGATAATTATTTTCCCAGTGTTAATCTGTATAGGCATTATCAGTAGTTAACCTGCTAGATCAGCCACGCTCATAGCCTCAAAGTGTCAGCAGACTGTCGGTAATTTGTGCCTCCCTTAGAAAATCTGCCCCAAAAAACTTAAATACATACAAAGTGTAAATGGTGTCAGTTTCAGCACAGATGTTTTTGTCTCTTTAAGCAATATAATGGAGTGTAATACAACAGTGGAAATGATTCCAGTTATGTCAGCATGTCTGACATCATATTGCTTATAGCATAAAATCTATGCAAATTTATGATTTACACGCTACTGTGGCTACTGTTGAAAGACTATTAGCAGCAGCAGACAAGCATGGAGCGAATCACGCTGTTCCACTGCATACACGCACTTGTTCTAGCTACCACACTGCATGCCAGTGTCTCACAAGAGGGATGGGACAAGAGGAAATCCTCGTTTCGCCATCAGAGACAGATAAACTGTTTAGGAAAAAACCTGTTTAGCCTGTTAAACTTCGACTGCATGGCAGCTGCCCAAATCTCTGAGGAGAAACCCTGCAGAAAAAGCTCCACTCAACTGTACACAAGCCTGGAGGCATTTTTACGCATAGCAGTTACTGTTATCATTAACACTAAGTTAAGCTTTTACCTAATATTACTTGTCATCTGACTACCAGTTACACACATAATTGTATTCCTTCTTTTGTGGGGTGTTTCCTTCTGCATGACTGTTGTCTAAATGCTGTGGCGCTATACTTAACCCAACCCCAACCTTACAGGAACTGTTTAACAAAAAATCAAAGGTACACCATTTTACACTGAGCCCAAATGTAGCTTCTCAGCCAAGACATGTTTGGTGTCTAAAGTTTGCTTCTTTAGTTTGGCAGTGGAGCTACAAGGCTAATGTAGCTCAATTAATGGAAGTCTACGTCACCCAAAACCTAATGTTTTAATTCTATTCCATTCTTTTTGTTAGAAGCAACTTCTGGCAGCAAACATGTCTTGGCTGTTTCTTCTGATTTTTTATATGTAATGGTGATAATGCTAAAATATTGATAAATCTGAAAGTCTTCTTTGGGTACTGTTTTACTTTATAACGTCCTGACTGTACCTCTCTGCCATGAATGGATTTAAAAGATTACATTTTACGCCACAACCTTATACTGGAACTATGGTAAAAAATGTCTCAGGCATCAAGACAGCAGATTCATAACCATTTTGTGTAATAACTTTCTGCACTGTAGCTTTTAGCAGCTTCGGACGTCTGGGTCCTATCACCACCAGTGTGAACAAGTCGGACTCATTTCATCAAACCACTCTGGATGACTTTGTGTACATGTTAACGATTTAATTACGCAGATTACCCTCCTTTTACCTCAGGAACCAAAATCTAACTGGCCTCTTTTACTTTTTCTAATAAAAGCTGGTTTGTTAATAGCAGTTTTCTTCCTCGGGAGCTCCCACATGTCTACACGACAATATGTTGTGGTCACCACAAAGAGCCAAACAGCCTGAACACACATTCAGACAGACTAAAGCTAATTCTCAGCTTCTAGAGTAAATGTGCACGTATGAGAGCTTTGTGCTCAGTTTTAATGACGTGCACTGTCGCCTTTTGCCACCTGCTGTTAAACTGAACTAAAGCTGAGCAGCTCACCGTGTGTAGAAACACAGCGTAAGACACGGTAAGGTAACTCAGTTGACGCGCGCGCCAAAGCCGCTCGGTAAGCTCTGTCTAAACAGCTACAGCTACATTAGCAGAAGCGGGAGCCGCGGCTCGGTGTGTTACCGTTTCTCCGCACGAGTTTCTGGCCACTTCGGGGAAAGTTTTGTCCGGCGCTGTGGCGCAGGGCATCGCCGCTCTCCCGGTGAAGCAGCGGCGGCTCTCCGTCCCCTTCTCCCCCTCCTTACGTTTCGTCTGTGGAGCGGTGAAGTCCGGCTCGTGAACCAGTCCTTCTTTTGAATGAATTTGAACGAATCGGTTCTTTTCAGTGAATCGGTTCAGGCGATTCCCACCTCCCAACTGAATCGATTTTTGTAGCCTGAACGCGCTGTTCATCTCCGTGTTAAACGCCTGAAAACTTCAAATTAAATTCGAATAATAGTTTTTCGCAAAAGAAAATAACCTAATAAAAATGGTCACAATGTAAAATAACTTTTGAGTTTAAAGTCGTTTGAATTCGTTTACATGTCTTTTTATCGCCAGTTCAACTAACTACTGCTGCCTAACTTGGACATATTGAGTGCTGTTTTGTATTTTGCGCATTCACATTACATTGTATGTTGTATGTGTGTTAAAATGGACAGCAAGCTGAATATCATTGTTCATATGTACATAACATTTCTTTGTGCATATAACAGTAATATATACCCGAATTTGAGGTGAACCTTAGATCTGTAAGAGGTGACAATGAAGTTGGTTTAACTTGCGAATCAATTAATCGTTTGAATGGGACATTCGGTTCATTGAAACGGACAGACTCGGTTCAGAAAAATGATTCGAACGTCTCTTCACTACTCAGGATTATTCAAGAGAGGCGGGTCTCTTCATGATAATCCAGGACACGCGACACACCCCCACCCCCTCCCCCATACACACACACACACACACACACACACACACACACTCCACTCTCTCAGTTAAAGCTCTTACCTGTCAAAGTAGATGCTTGCAGAGGCCACTAGTCATGCTGCTGGAATCCTACTTATTCCTCTTTATGCAGGCAGGCTGACATAAGGGGAAATCTCATGGGGTATAACGCAAATATTTATTCACTCCAGTCTTTAAAGTGTGATCCTACCACATCTGATTTTGCTTTTTCCTGCTAATCAATACAGAAGCACCCCAGTTCTCCATTATATTTTCAATCCACAGCTACAATTCAACCAAAGTTGCGGCCCTGTTCACAGCTACAGTTTCCTACACACAGCTGTAATTCAATACGCGGCTGCAATCCAATCCACAGCTTCATTTACATTTAAATATATTTGGCAGACACACTTATCCAGAACTGTTTACAATCCAAAGCAATAGTCCAATCTACAGCAATCCACAACTACAATCCAGTCCACAGCTACAGTCCAATCAACAGCTGCAATCCACAGTTATAATAGATAGCTACAATCTAGTTACAATCTAATCTACAGTTGTAACCCACAGTTACAGTCCACTGAAGAGCTACAGTCCGCAGCTACAGTCCAGTCAACATTCTAACCCACAGCAACAGTCCAGTGGACAGCTGTAATCCACAGCTGCAGTCTAATCCATAGCTGCTATCCACAACTACAGTTCAATCCACAACTATAATAATATAGCTACAATCCTCAGCTACGGTCCAAAGCTGATAGCTAATCCACAGTTGTAATTCACAGTTACAGTCCAATCTACAGATACAATCCACAACTACAGTTCAGTCCATAGCTTCGGTCCACAACAGCTACAGTCCAATCCATAGCTGCTATCCACAACTACAGTCCAAGACGACAGTCCAATCCACAGCTATAATAATATAGCTACAATTTGCAGCTACAGTCCAAAGCTGATATCTAATCCACAGTTGTAATTCATAGTTACAGTCCAATCTACAGCTACAATCCACAACTACAGTTCAGTCCATAGTGTCAGTCCACAACAGCTACAGTCCAATCCACACCTGCTGTCCACAGCTACAACTCACAACTACAGCCCAATCGGCATCTACAATTTAACCTTCTGGAATCCAATTCACAGCAAAATAACATACAGCCTAAGCCCACTGTCAGCTAGCTCATACTGTTTACCCAACAAACTTAAACCGCCTGCCATTTCTCTCTGTCTGGCCAGTAGCTTTTGTGTACAGTAGCTCCAGAGTGTCATGCCAGGAAAAGAAATCTGATCACTCCTTTCTCGCCACAAACAGGCTACAATGGTTCCTGAGCACATGAATGTTTCAGTGGTGAGACTCTTTTATGATGCTGGTGAATTTTTAAAGAAGGAGTTTTAAGTGATCCAGGCTCTTCTGACCACTGCTGAATAATGTCCAGAAGTTTAGGTCCACTAGCAAGAAAGGTTTTTATTTCATTATTTATCAAAAATAAGTACAAAATATTACTTAGTTTGTACTTATTATTCAAAACTACATAATTTAAAACCGAGACTGCTAGTTCTAGTCTGCAGTTATGGGATTATGTTGCTGCACATATACATTGGAATCACTGTTTCCATTCATAAAAAAAAACAGTTTAATTTCAAATATTTGTATACGAAATGAGCTGTAGATTATTCCATGATAATTGACGGAAAGCAGTATATTCATCATAATTTTATCAAAATAACAGAAGAAAAGGTTTTTGGCGTTTTTCAACAGAAATGTTATGTTGTGTCAAATCGTCCAACATGACAAATCAACCAATAGAAGTGATCCAAAATTACTTGGAAAGAAATGACTTCTCCAATAACTTTCATTGAAAGATAGAACGTTTTCTCTTGTCCTCTAAACTGTTTCAGAGATATGAGGCTTTGTTCTAACAGCAATGATATACATATATATATAATGCCCAGTATTGTGCCTTCTTCATAAAACCAGCCTAAAATACTTTTGAGCAGTAGTGTATATGCGTAAAATGTTCCTATTCTAATAGTAGGACTCAACAACTTTACTGGTTTCAAAAAATTATTAGACATCTGCAAAAAACTAAATGTTAGATGTGTTAAGAATGATAAACAGAGCTGTAGATGATTCTACAAAGACTGAGAAAGTTGTATAACATTGAGAAAGTTATAATAAAATTGAAGGCCTCATATCACTGAAAATGAAATTTTCCGCACTTGAAATAAAACACTTTAACAAAGTATGTAAACACGGTAAAGTATCACACTGTACCAATTTCTTCCCAGTGCATTTGGTCCGTACATGACAACCAGGCTGAAAAATAGTCTTTGTTTTTGTGATGTCAAGAAAACAAAACCATTTACATATATACACCTATACAGCCTACAGCAGTTCAGGTTGAAGGTTATCCTGGACTGTTTTTTGAATGAGGCACAATACAGGGCAGCCAACCAGAACAGAGCTCATTAACATACAGCAGTTTTAAATATTTTAAATGCACAGTATCAAAAACAGCCTGTTGAAGAGACTTTGGAAAGAAATGTCTACATATGAATTATGTCTGTTTTTGGTGTATAAGCCTGCGCATTTTAAGCAGAAACCAGCTGGAATCCAAAGTAAAAAATAAAATCCTAAAAAATTGTAGTAGGCCATGTGGGACCTTTACACCCACAAAATCTTTTATTTTAAAAATGCTAACATGACATAATATTACTATAAATATTTAATTACAGTCTATTGTTCATTATTTAAAAACTTTTTCTTGCCCACTGCCCCCTAAAAAATGTTGAAATCAGTGACATAGCTACTGGAGGGGCAGGAAAAGCTATTGCAGTGGGGCCTATGGTGCAGAGCGGCCATGGTGACTGGGTCCCACTTAAAGTCTTTACTTGGCCCTTCATTTAGATACTGACAGTCCTAATGGTAGATTAAGAAATGAAACAAATAAGACAAAAATATTAGACTTTATTTAGACCATTTATTTATTGAAGAAAATGATCCAATATTTCACATCTGTGAGTGGCAAAAATATGTGAACCTTTAGGATTAGTAGATAATTTGAGGCACCACTGTATACACTTATGTCTAACAGAAAGATCCCATTTCTTTACTATGTTATTCACTAGTTAGCTTCCATCTATGCTACACAGACATCTGTTTATCTCCCACTTACTTATTATGCTTCTCTTCAGATGGATTTCAACTTGTTTGAGACATTACAGTAAACAAGCGAACTACATTCTCATTTTCTTTGTATTAATTGATGGTAATTTTAAAAGAGAGGAACGCTTTTTTTGCACTGGGGCCCATTAGATCCACGTTACGCCACTGAAAAAATAGTCACTTAAAAGCATTTATAATATTTAAATCTAAAATATTCTAAATCTAAACATTCTAAAATATTATTCAGTAAAGTTATTACTGAAGAAAATATCAGCAATTATTAACCTGAAAGCAATTACAGACGTCTGAACAGTGGAGCAAATGAGTGAGCTGAGGACAGGATGGAGTGAGTAATGAGCTCTAACCTCACATTCACAGACTGATTTAAATCAACACACACACAAACACAACCGGTTAAGCCAGTGTGAGGTGACAGGCTGTGTGTGTGTTTGTGTGCTGACAGGTGTACATTTTAATCAGATGTTTGACAGCAGATCAGGTTCCATTACCCAATCAGGCGCTTGCACTGCTTACTCAACCCACTCACCCCACACACAGCTCATACACAGCTCACACTCTGAGCCCTTACTCTCTGGCACCAGTTCAGTTAGGGACAGATCATTGTCTCGCAAGGCATCTGTGCACAAGTGTTTTTGAATTCCCCCCACAACCTGACAATTATATCAAAAATAAAGAAATAAATTGACCTTAAAAACAATTTTAATAAACAGCTTGTGTTTGTGTCTGTAAAGTAAAGTAAATATAAAGTAAATAAACAAAATTAATCACTCTCAAATAATTTGTAATAGCCTTTTATTTCCTGCACAGTTATTTCTGCACATTTTCATTACTGGGAGGCTTTTAATTATTTTAAAATTTCATAATACAAACTAGCTTGTACACAAAACGTGTACGTGCATGCATTGCTGTGTGTGTAGTTAGCTGTAGTGGCTTGCTATGTTGGTTGAAAAACGTGTTGCAAACTCATAAATGCGATGCAAACTTTGAAAACACTTTTTGAAAACAAAATGACCACACTACAAAAAACAAAAACACACGCAACTTCAGAAACGCTGCAAAGCCAATCACAACACAATGGAAGTGAGGCACAACACAATTGATATGTTTCTAGAAGACTCTGAAAGTGGATGGAACATCTGTG